AAGCTCAGGTTGAGTTGCCACTGCCTACTGCTCTCCAAGTAGCAAACTCGGGGTGACCGAAGCCGGGGTGATGGCTCCCCATCCTCACAGAACCCTCCTGGGTTTCAGCACCAAATGTTAGGGTCACAAAAGGAGGAATGCATGAGGCCAAAAAGGGTAAAGTATTATGAATTTATTAGGTCATCTGGATACCAGATGGGCTGAATCCCAAAATGGCACCAGCACCGTGGGGATCCAGAGGTTTTTAAAGGACTCTAGGTGGGCTTTTTCTGGGTGGAGAATTCTCTGTGCAGGTCTAGATTCTGGGAAACTCCAGAGGGGAGAGAGAATGGTCTTAGCAAGTGGAATGTGGTCTAAGCAAGTAGAATGTCCATTGTGAAATGGCATAAAGGTCAGTTCCCAGGTGAGGGGGTATCGGTTCAATTATTTGATCAGACCTAACAAATAGATGGTCGTGAAAAAAAACAGGGACATTTTCTGAGGTAGGGTTCTAACTTTTCCTAACATTACTCAGAGGAAGAACAGACTAGAAGACAGAGGACAGCAGTTGTGAACAGGAAGGAGAAGTCCTGTGAATGAAAAAGTAACTGGCAAGAGTGTGCACTGAGGACTGAGCCCTGAGATAACACAGGCATCTGGAGGGCACCTGGCCTCTGGGCTGGGCAAGGGTACTGAGCAGCCTGAGCCCCTAGATCTTGGTGGTGTTTGCCAGGCTCTCAGCAGACCATTTTCTTTCCTCAAATTCCTGCCAATGAAGAATGAATTAGGTGTACCAGTGTGTGCAGCTTATTTCAGGACTTCACACTCTTGTGGCTTCTGTGATAGTGGTGTCCTGGGATTGTCCAGCTGCTCTGGTAGGCCTTGGACCTGGGTACTTTGAATAGACACTAAGCCAGGATCCTAAGGCCACGACTAGGGCTTCATGAAGTGGACCTTGTTTTTGGCAACCAGTATAATGAGTGGGAGGTCCTCCGGGGGATAGGTCCCAGAATGTGCAAAGGCTTGGAGTGAAGAGTGAGCTGATTCAGGAACCAGCAGGTATGTTTTTTTAAATATATATGTGTATATTGATTTTAGGTGTAAAAGGAAAGGAGAGGGAGAGAGACAGAAACAGTAATGAGCAAGAAACAACCCCTACTGTGGATCCAGCCGACAGTCCAGGCATGTGACCTCACCAGTGCATGGGTCAATGCTCAGCCAACTGAGTCACATCAGCCAGGACTGTAGATCACTTTAATATAGAGAATCATGGTCAGGTTGGTAATGGTAGTAGAAGCTAAGAAGGGACATTGTGAGCCTGAGGACTGGCTTTTCTGCTGGGGCCACTATTTGTGGGAGGTGGGTGTCACAACACAGCATAGGTACAGAAGTTGTCATGTAGAGTATTGGGGAGAGAGAATGGTTTTGCAGTAGCCAAGGCCATTAAAAGTTGAGTGGACCTGAGATTAATTGGAGGCCAAAGAGTTATTCAAACAAGATGAGACTAGGGCTGGTACATATTTACTTCTCTAAACACTCACCAGGATTTTGTTGTGACCCTTGGTGTGGCCTGTATGTGGGGAGTTACAGTCAATCTTGTGGATTATCTTAGAGCAGTGGTTCTCAACCTTCCTAATGCTGTGACCCTTTAATACAGTTCCTCATGTTGTGGTGACCCCCCATTTCATTGTTACAAATTGAACACAATTAAAGCATAGTGATTAACCACAAAAACAATATGTAATTATATATGTGTTTTCTGATGGTCTTAGGCGACCCCTGTGAAAGGGTTGTTTGACCCCCAAAGGGGTCTCAAACCACAGGTTGAGAACCGCTGTCTTAGAGGCTAGAGCAGCCGTGAGCAAACTACGGCCCGCGGGCCGGATCCGACCCGTTTGAAATGAATAAAACTGAAAAAAAAAAAGACCGTACCCTTTTATGTAATGATGTTTACTTTGAATTTATATTAGTTCACACAAACACTCCATCCATGCTTTTGTTCCGGCCCTCCGGTCCAGGTTAAGAACCCATTGTGGCCCTCGAGTCAAAAAGTTTGCCCACCCCTGGGCTAGAGTGATCATCTCTGTGACTCACTGTGCATGGTGCAAAAGGTCATCGGGGCTGGGACTTGAGTGGCTGTTAAGTGAGAGATGTTGACAAGCATTCTCTGGACCAGCGGTCACCAACCCTTTGGACTTCACGGACCACCAGTGGTCCATGGACCACCAGTTGGCGACAGCTGCTCCAAATATTTCCTTAAACCAGCGGTCGCTAACCTTTTGGACCTCACAGACACCAGTGTTCCGTGGACCACCTGTTGGCAACCACTGCTCTGGACAACACATGCTGATTAATCACCATGAGGCCAAGGAAAGGACTATGGGCGCTGGGGCTGAGGGAGTTCACGTGTGAGAGAGGTGTGGTAAAGAGTGTTGTGCAACTGGGGAAGGAATGTGAACTCATGGCCACAGTACCCTGACATTGACATAAGAGTGAATGATGGAAAAAAGAGATAGAGGAAGACATAAAGAGATGGAAGAACATACCATGTTCTTGGATTGGTAGAATCAACATCATTAAAATGTCCATACTACCCAAAGCAATCTATAAATTCAACGCACTTCCCATTAAAATACCAATGGCCTACTTCAAAGATCTAGAACGAACTCTCCAAAAATTCATCTGGAATAAAAAAAGACCCCGAATAGCTGCAGCGATCCTGAGAAAGAACAAAGTAGGTGGGATCTCAATACCAGATATCAAGCTGTATTACAAAGCCACTGTTCTCAAAACTGCCTGGTACTGGCACAAGAACAGACATATAGATCAATGGAATAGAATAGAGAGCCCAGAAATCAGCCCCAACCAATACGCTCAATTAATATTTGACAAAGGAGGCAAGAACATACAATGGAGTCAAGACAGTCTCTTCAATAAATGGTGCTGGGAAAATTGGACAGATACATGCAAGAAAATGAAACTAGACCACCAACTTACACCATACACAAAAATAAACTCAAAATGGATAAAGGACTTAAATATACGACAGGAAACCATAAAAATACTAGAAGAATCCAAAGGCAACAAAATCTCAGACATATGCCGAAGCAATTTCTTCACCGATACAGATCCTAGGGCATTGGAAACTAAAGAGAAAATAAACAAATGGGACTACATCAAAATAAAAAGTTTCTGCACAGCAAAAGAAACCATCAACAAAACAACAAGAAAGCCCACTACATGGGAGAACATATTTGCCAACATTATATCTGATAAGGGCCTAATCTCCAAAATTTATAGGGAACTCATACAACTTAACAAAAGGAAGATAAACAATCCAATCAAAAAATGGGCAAAGGACCTAAATAGACACCTTTCAAAAGAGGACATTCAGAAAGCCAAGAGACATATGAAAACATGCTCAAAGTCGCTAATCATCCGAGAGATGCAAATCAAAACAACAATGAGGTACCATCTCACACCTGTCAGAATGGCTATCATCAACAAATCAACAAACGACAAGTGCTGGAGAGGATGTGGAGAAAAAGGAACACTTGTGCACTGCTGGTGGGAATGCAGACTGGTGCAGCCACTATGGAAGACAGTATGGAGTTTCCTCAAAAAACTGGAAATGGAACTCCCATTTGACCCTGTGATCCCACTTCTAGGAATATATCCCAAGAAACCAAAAACACCAATCAGAAAGGATATATGCACCCCTATGTTCATAGCAGCACAATTCACCATAGCTAAGATTTGGAAACAGCCTAAGTGCCCATCAGTAGATGAATGGATTAGAAAACTGTGGTACATCTACACGATGGAATACTATGCTGCTGTAAAAAAGAAGGAACTCTTACCATTTGCAACAGCATGGATGGAACTGGAGAGCATTATGCTAAGTGAAATAAGCCAGTCAATGAAGGAAAAATACCACATGATCTCACTCATTCATGGATAATAAAGACCATTACAAACTTTTGAACAATAATAGATACAGAGGCAGAGCTGCCTCAAACTGATTGTCAAACTGCAGTGGGAAGGCCAGAGAGGGTTGGGGGGCAGAAGGGAGGGGAGTAAGAGATCAACCGAAGGACTTGTATGCATGCATATAAAAAAAAAGAAAAGAGTGAATGATGGGAGAGTCCACTTCTGGTGGTGTCTGGATGATCCAGTAAGGTGTATTTTAAGGTAATTGCCTGTGAAGAGGGGTGTTTTGGTGCTACATCCTAGGTACAGAGCTTAGGTGCCATTTAACTAACCACCTGCCTTTTGTTGTTGGGGGTGACACATTGGTTGATAGGAATGAGATACATCAGTGGTACCCTGGCTTCAAAATCTCCACTGGCATGGGTAAGGGAATAGGTTAAGGGGAAATAGATTATAATTTTGGAAAAGAAGGTGATTAGGAAACAATTTGTCCTCGACACAGCAAATTTGCATTACCATTGAAGTTGTGCCTCTGGGAATGAAGCTGTGTGAGAGAAGTGTTGTTCAAGGAACTATGTACAGCGGGTAGTGCAAAGCGATGGCCTCAGCACCTTGGAATTGGGGTCAAGAGGGTGAAGTGTGATGCCATGTGTTTGGTGTCCTTGAGAAACAATCTGAGGGACTACAAGGGTATTGCCTGACAAGACCAATATCAAATCACTTACACTCTCTTTATGGGTGTAAGTGATTACTCTCTTAATGGGTACAAGCTTGTACTTTCTCTTCATTGGAGGCATCTCTCTTTAACCTATGATTTTGACACCCACTCTATTGATAAGAGTCAGTGTGGCGTACATGGGAGCTCCTGAGCTCAGGTATCTTCTAGCTGCTCAACTGCCTTTATTTTTGTGGGAAGACAAAATATCAGTAGGAATATAAGAAGATAGTGGCTTTCATGGGATGAAGGCCTGGTGTTTTCTCTGATATGTAGAGTGGAGAGAGCAGACGGATGTGGAGGGTAGGGACTAGACAGACTTAGAATCTTAAGAGTGAATCTGATCATGGGCTGTACTGTCCCCATTATGGCAGGATGTGAACTTTGAGGACGTGGAAGTGGGGGCTCCTTGATGAGGCTCAGAGACTTCTGTACTGTGATGTGATGCTGGAAGTTTTTGCACTTGTGTCATCTGTAGATAAGACCTTCAAGTTCTCCCAGTTTCCTGAGGTGACGACCTCTCTTCCTTTATTCCTCAGCCATAGCTTTCTCTCTCCCACAGCCAGAGCATGAGCTCTGCTAATTTCCCCCACTGTCCTGTCAAATATGCTATGGCTGCCAGGGATGAGCTGGATGGAGTTCCCTGAGCAAAGGACTCCACGAACATCCCTAACATCCATTACCTCAAAAAGTACAGGAAGTCACAGGAAGTCAGGAGTCTTGCAGTGAGCTTAATGGGTACAAGCTTGTACTTTCTCTTTATTGGAGGCTGACAGTGTCCACATGCATGGCTGCAACTCTTTCTCTAGGTAAAGGTTCTTTGTGGCAACCTATGCCATGTTATGGTCTTTACTTACATGTTCCATGGGCTGTTCTTGTAAGACACTCATTGAATAGTTTGTAATATTCTCTTCCCTGAATACAATAGTAAGCTATGTTGCTTTGGGCAAAAGCTGACTGCTCATCTCTTTATTACCTGTTCCTTTGCACTGCTGCCTCTGCAGTATTCTGCAACATTGATTTGCACATGTGTTATGAGGTGCACATGCATGCTTACATAGTCCTTGACACCTGCTACTTTTTAATTGAATTTTACTTGGAATAAGACCTAACCAACCTCTTGCACAGCTTGCCCCCTTCCCCAGTCAACAAGCCCTGATGAATACTGATTGTTGAAGGATGAGCTGGAGATTCATATTCTCATCCATGTGGTGCTTGCCATGTTTGTGTCATATTTCTGGTGAGGCCTCCCTGTTTTGTGATCTTCATCGGCCCAGAAATTCACAAGAACATTTTTTTAATCCTTCCTGCACATCTCTTATTTTCAGACAATTACATGGAAACAAAGTATGATGGGCAACACACTTTTGCAATGGGACTTCCCCCTGTCACCACATTCAACTATTTCTCACTTTTCAGGTTGTTGGCATAAAACGTATGATGAGAAGGCCTGTTGTCATCAGAATGTATCTCTCAAGGAGAGTCACAGGTCAGGGCTTCCAAGACAGCTCCAGCCACCCAGAAGACCCTTCTGTGTAAGCAGTGTTTCTCTGTGTTAAAAGATATTTTGCACCTGACTGAGTCACAGCAGCATACATTGAGCAGAAAGCCTTCTGTAGTGATGCGTGTGTTGGAGACTTCTGTTTCAGTGCAAACCATCACCAGCAACAGAGCAATACCTGTGGAGAGAAGCACTGGAATGAAGCTATGGACAGGGCCTCATTTGTGAGCAGGTGCAGCTTCTACTTTGGTGCTTTCAACTAGCAGGGAGGTTGGGAATGACTTGCAATCTCTCTCAGATCTTCTCCAGCACCAGGCCACTCTCAACACTGAGGAGCCACACAGTGGCAGTAAGATTTCACAGGAATTTCTTGATGTAAGAAGTCATTACCAGTGGGGTGAATATGAAATTGCTTCCAGCCACAACCTGAAAGTTGTTGAATGAGAGCATGTCTGTTCTGGAGAACTGATTTATGAGTGTATTAAATGTAGGAAAGTTTTTAGACGAATCTTAAACTCCCTTTGACATAAGAGTGTTCACACTGGAGAAAAACCATGAGTGTTCTGATTGTAGCAAGTCTTTTATCTTAAAATATAGCCTTATTAGACACCTGAAAGTTCACAGTGGAGAAAAGACATATGAGTGTATAGACTTTGGGAAGTCCTTTCAGAGATCTACCCTGATTCTACATCAGAGAATTTACACTGGAGAAAAGCCCATATGAGTGTAGAGAATGTGGGATGTCCTTTCCTCAAAGGTCTCACCTCACTAGACACCACATAATTCACACTATAGAGAAACCATATGACTGTACTGAATATGGGATGCCCTTCAGTCAAAGATCTCACTTAATTCAATACTTCAGAGTTCACACTGATAAAAACCCACTTAAATAATGTATGTGGGAAATCTTTTAGGCACCATAATTTCCCTTTTGTAAATATGGTCACCATGGTTTGTTTCAAATTGCCAAAATGATGGCACTAAACATGGACATGATAATATATTTCAATAGCAAATCATTACATTTTATTTACAACATGCTGATACAGTATGCTCAAGAACATTCTTAATAAAAATAGTAAAATAATTGGGAAGTGGCAAGTTTAAAACTTTGATTTAAGTGTACTTGATTTTAAAATATAAATTCAAAACTACGTATTTTTATTGATTTCAGAGAGGGAGAGATAGAAACATCAGGATAAGAGAGAATTATTGATCAGTTGCCTGCTGCATGCCCCCAACTGGGGACCAAGTTGGCAACCTTAGCATGTGCCCTGACTGGGAATTGAACCTCCTGATTCATAGGTCAACACTTAACAACTGAGCCACACCAGCCAGGCTATAACACTTTTTTACATGCACTTTTGATGTTTCCGTACATGCCTGCATCCCTTAAACCAAATTCCTCCATCCTTTTTCAGTGCTTCCTTCTCAGGATATAAAATTACTGATCAAGAATATAATCTACCTTTGTACTAGCTTATTTCAAATACTAGAGGCCCATTGCACAAAATTCATGCACTGGTAGGGTCACTAGTGGTTGCCAGCTGTCGGCCAGCTACTTCCTCCCTTCCCCCAGCTGCCTGCCTGGGCCTCCTTAACTTCTCTCTGCTATCTGCTGCTGCCACCAGCCAGGACCTCCCTCCCTTCCCCGGCCATCCCTGCCCCCTGGTCAAACTCCCTAGGAGCTCTTGGTCAAGGGGACAATTTACATACTACGCTTTTATTATACTAGTATAGGATATCCACATAATGAAAATACTTATGAAAAGCCATGTATCTTATTCTAGCCTTCTATCTACTATCTGTCACCAGGGTGGTTCTTGTATCTATTTATTCTCACGGACATTAGTGGGTTATTTTTCTTAAAACCCCAGATATGTTAAGCCCTGGCAAGGTAGCTAGTTGGTTGTAGCATCATCTCAATAACAGCAAGGTTGCTGGTTGCAGTCTGGTTCAGGGCACATGCAAGAATCAAACAACGAATATATAAAATTAGTGAAACAACAAATGAATGTTTCTCTCTGTCTCTCTCTCCCAATTTTTCTCTCTCTCAAATCAACATCTTTGGTTTTTCCCTCCCATCCAATTAGGTGACACATGTGAACACCAGCACAGACTAGATACGCAATGATGAAACAGCAGCCAGGGTTTCTCATGATGGCAGAGCACACAATGACATAGAGAACAGGAGGGGAGGTGCCCCTGCTATTAGTGTGGAGAGTGGAAAACTGGATCTTATCTGTACAATCACCCAAAAGGAATAATAACATCTGTTGCTCCCTGAGACTAAAATCTAAGGAGCTGATAAAAGCTCTGGGCCTAGACATGCCCCTTGTGCTCTCTGCACCTTCCAGCCAGATGTTGACACTGGGCTATTTCTGAGTCAGGGGTTTGACAAACCCCGATTCCTCTCAGGTGTTAATGCTGGAAGCAGCAGTGGCAGCTGGGCATGTGGGTATGAGGAGGAAAAAGCCCAGGGCAGGTTCCAGAGAGAGTTGGTGCTGGGCCATATGTGTGGCTCTGAGGCCCTCTCTAGTCCCAGTCCAGGATGGTGGCTGCTTTGTTGTTTGGGGCCATGGTTAGTGGGAAATGTAGCAACCTGTGCTGCAGGAGTTCCCAGGGGGTCATGACCTGGGAGTCAGCATGTGCTCCAAGAAAACTGTTGACCCAGGCAGGTGCAACCTAGTCCACTGTAATGAGGTGCTCCAGCCATTGACCTGCCTAGGGAAGGAGAGGAGCTGTCTCTGCAGAGGCTGATTCCCTATCTGCCCAGCAGGAGGGGTTGCTGACTGTTGAACCAGGTGGTCCTTGTTGGGTTGGAAGTGTCGAAACATTTAGCCCCTAAGGACGTTGTAGAAATTTATCAATCTGGTAAGAGAAAATGGCCTTGATCTTTCCTTATGGGTAAACATCCACCCTGGCCTGGCCAGTGTGGGTCAATGGTAAGAGCATTAGCCCACACACCTACAGGGTGGTGAATTAGATTTCAGGTCAAGGGCAAGTACCTTGGTTGCAAGTTTGGTCTGCAGACACTATTAGGGGCTCATGCAGGCGGGATCCAGTTGATGTGTCTCTCTTCTATGTTTCTCTCTATCTCCCTCTCTCCCCTCAGCCCCACTGTTCCACTCTGAATAAAATCAATTGAAAAATATCCTTGGGTGAGGATTACCAAAAATGAATCATTTACCCTGCTGTGCTGAGATGGGTCCTCCGCCTGAACAGTGCACCCCTCCTCACTTTTTCCTGCCTTTGCCTGGGATGTTCCCACTGCAGCTGGGTCATGCTCTGTCCTTCTCCTGGTATTGGTAGCAAGGATCCCTAGGCATGTCCCTAGGAGGGATTTGGGTCCTGTGTCTGTCTGAGAGGAGCTGGCCAGGACTCTTCTGTCTCCATCCAGAGGTCTCTCCAGCCTGCTTTTCCCCATCCCCAGGCACCTGACCCACTGCAACTGAACCTCATTCTATATCCTGGAGCAACCCCATGATGCTTTTGGCCTCCATATCCGTTCACTTTTGCAAACTTCTGCCTCTGGCCAGCCCAAACTCACTCCTGACCCCTGAGCTCCACGTGGTTTGAATCTCCTTTCTTTCTTTCTTTTAATTACATTTTTTGCATTCTATATCCTGGAGCAACCCCATGATGCTTTTGGCTTCCATATCCGTTCACTTTTGCAAACTTCTACCTCTGGCCAGCCCAAACTCACTCCTGACCCCTCACCCCTGAGCTCCACGTGGTTTGAATCTCCTTTCTTTTTTAATTACATTTTTTTGGTAATTTTTCACTTTTATTTCATTAAAAATATAGCCCTGCCCTCATCCAGTCCTAGAGATACCATGGATTCTCCAGGAAATGGTGCTGTGTTTTTTCAATATTGT